GTGTGTGTGTGTGTGTGGTGTGTGTGTGTGTGTGTGTGTGTGTGTACAACTTTGTAAAAATATGACTCAGCATTTTTATTACAGCATACTGAAATAAAAGACACATTATTTGGTTTTTTTGCTTTTTTCTGAGATAGTCTCACTATTATAGCTCCAGCTGGTCTGGAACTCCCTATGTAGACCAGGCTGCCCTCAAACTCAGTCACCTTCCTCTGCCTCAGAGTACTGGGATTAAAGTCATGCACCGCCACAAATATTAAATAATATCAAAATACTGTTCAAGCCGTGTGCTGGTGGCACACGCCTTTAATCCCAGCACTCGGGAGGCAGAGGCAGGCAGATCTCTGTGAGTTCGAGGCCTGCCTGGTCTCCAGAGCGAGCACCAGGATCGGCTCCAAAGCTACACAGAGAAACCCTGTCTCGAAAAACCAAAACCAAAACAAAACAAACAAACAAAAAAAACTGTTCAAATCCTAAGATTAGTTGAGATGTAAAATCCTAAACACTTCCAGCATAGTTGTTAGAGTCACATGGACTCCCAACACCACACCACCCCCTCCACTGAGGCATGTTCAGAAAACTCTACAATCCAGTGGCATCAACATCACTTGGGAACTCATCAGAATGCCAATTCTCAGACCGGGAACAAACCTGCTTAAACTGTAAAGAGGATGGATATACTATTTCTTGTTTGTTTGGTATTGTTTATTTTTTTCTTAATTTTATTAATGTAGCTGAAGATGATCTTGAACTAATGATTCCTGCCTTACCACTCAAGTGTCCAGATTACAAGCATAAGTCACCACACTTGGTTTTGTGCCAGTGCTGGAAATTTATCTCTAGTATTTAATTCAAGGAATCTTGTCAAGCTACAGCCCAAGCCCTTGGGAGTTTCATACGTGGGTGTGGATGGTTTTTGGTTTGTTTTTTTGTTTTTTGTTCTTTTTTCTTTTGAGTCAGCGTTTCTCTGTGTAACAGTCCTGGTTGTCCTAGAACTTGTATTGGTAGACCAGGCTGACTTCTAACTCACTGAGGTCTGCCTGCCTCTGCTTTCCAAGTGCTGGGATTAAAGGCATGTGCCACCACCACCCAGCTTACTTTGTTTTTTAAATGTTAATGTGTATGGAATGTTTTGCCTGAATGTATGTCTGTGTACCACTTGCATGCCTGGTGTCCAAAGAGGTCAGAAAAGGATACCCTGGAACTGAAGTTACAGTTTCGAGTCACCATGTGGAAATGGAGCCCATATCCTCAGGAAGAAAAACCAGTGCCCTTCAAACCACTGAGCTGGTTTGTTTGTTGGGTCTCTGGGCAGTGGTGGCACAGGCCTTTAATCCCAGCACTCAGGAGGCAGAATCAGGTGGATCTCTTGAGTTTGAGGCCAGCCTGGTCTCCAGAGTGAGTTCCAGAACAGCCAAGGCTACACAGAGAAACCCTGTCTTGAAAAAACAAAACAGAAAAAGAGGAGGAGGAGGAGGAGGGGAAAAAAGAAGAAGAAAGAAAGAAAGAAAGCGAAAAAAGAAAGAAAAAAAAGAAAAAAGAGAAAAAAAAAAAAAAAAAAAAAAAAAAAAAAAAAAAAAAAAGCCGGGGTTTGTCACTATTTAGTCCTGGCTGGCCCAGAACTCATTGTGTAATCTAGGCTGGTCTTGGCCTGAACTCACAGAGATCAGCCTGCTTCCTAAGGGCTAGAATTAAAGACCTGTGCTACCAGACCTGTCTTGTTTGGAAATGAGGTCTCCCTATGTAGCTCTCGCAGGCCTGGCACTTACTATGTAGACCAGGTTGGCCCAAACTCGAGGATTTATATTTGCCTGCCCCTGTTTCCTAGGTTGTAGGAATAATGGTGGTGTGCCACTATGCTAGCCACCACCGCCCGGCTTCAGGTCTAAGCCTTTGTTTGGCTTTGGTTCTTATGTTAAGGCAGGGTCTCCCTATGCAGCTCAGGCTGGCCTGGGATCTGCTATGTAATCTATGTAATCCAAGCTAGCCAGGAACCCACTGTGTTCTGCTCCAGCCTCCTGAGTACTGAGACTATAGGTACAGGCCACCACCTCTGGCCCATGACATTCCACAAAACACATTTTGAGATACATTACATTGGTTATTTCATTACATATAGCCTCGTTTACAGGCCACAAACATCAGAACTGGCTGGCTTCAGGGGAAGAACAGAAACTCAAAGTGAACAAACCAGACCGAACAGGCAGAGGCCAGAGCATCTCTGAGCTGCAGGAGCAGATCTGTTTAAGCAGCTTCCAGATTAGCTGTCAGTCATTGGAGCACTCTCCAGTTTGGGGGTTTGTTCTGGTTTAACAAACTAGTGCTTTGTTTTATTAGAATTTCTCTTAAATTACTTATGTGTCTGTGTGTACATGCTACATCTTGTATGTGGAGATCAGAGGGCAACTTGGAAGAACTGGTTCATTCCTACCTTGTGGGTCCTAGGGATTGAACTCCGGTTGTCAGACTTGGCAGCAAGTGCCTTTACTCACTGAGACATGTCACTGACGCTGTTTTAGTCTGTGTGTGTGTGTGTGTGTGTGTGTGTGTGTGTGTGTGTGTGTGTATGTTTTAAAGAGTTACTTTAGTGGGGAACGTGAGGGATGGGGGTGAATGTGTTTGAACCACAGAGGACAACTTGTGGGAGGCCTCCACTCCCTACCATGTGGGTTCTGGGATCAAGCTCAGGTCATTTCCAGGCTCAGTGAGATGCATCTTTACCCACTGAGCCATCTCACCACTTCATTTGTTTGTTTCTTTTCTTTCTTTCTTTCTTTCTTTCTTTCTTTCTTTCTTTCTTTCTTTCTTTCTTTTTTTGAGACAGGGTTTCTCTGTGTAGCCCTGGCTGTTCTGGAACTCACTCACTAAACCAGGCTAGCCTCAAACTCAAGAGATCCACCTGCCTCTACTTTCAGTGCTGAGAGTAAATGAATCAAAGGCATGCACCACCATGCAACAGAGCATGTTATAATTATTTGCTCATTAGATCGCAAGGTATTTTTGGCAAATAGGACCATTTCATTAATTATATTAATTATGCATACTTTTTTCTTAGTATTGGTAATACTGGGAAATCAAATGAAGGGTCCCACACATACTAAGCCTGCACTCTACCACTGAGCTACACCTCAGCCCTGGTTTAATTTTACAGCCTAAGTTACTGAAACAGATTGTCAGGTAGCATTTAGCAGGTTTCAGTGAGGTTTGCCCTGAGCAGCAAGCTGTTACTTCAGAACATACTCTCAAAGCCCTTAGCTAGAGTTCTGGGGTGCTGGTTTTGATACCCCATAGCTCCTTCCTCCCTGTGGATCAGGTATGAGCAGTGGTGTATATGGTCACCTGGAGATGGATGGATAAGGGCTCCTTGGCAGTAGTGTAGAAGTGGCTGTGGTTGGTGCTGGCACTGGCATGTTGGCTGTGACATGAACCCCATCAACTTGTCTGTGCATGTCCCTGCCGTGCAAACTCGTGATCCTCGCTGTTTGAGGTTCCACAGCATTTAACTCAAAGTTGCTTTCCACTCCAGCCACACATGGAAATGCCTGGGGATCTCTAAAAACAAAATCTCCAGAGACAGAAGTCTACCCCAGGAGCACTTGATTAGTCCCTGGTTTTGATTAGTCCCAGGCTGGGTAGAGAAGTTAGAGAGGAGGAAGAAGGGCAAGGTCATCCTCATCTTAGGACCAATTAAATCCAGATGTTTGGCTGAAGAGATGACTCAGTCAATAAAGTGGCTACTGCAGGAAAGTAAGGACCTATAAACTCCACATGGAGGGGAGGGGGAGTCCTGGGGGGAGCAGGAGGACCCCTGAAGCCCATTACTCATCAGCCTAATCCATAAGCTGCAGTGCAATGAGATACCCTGTCTCAAAACATAAAAAGATGGAAAGTGACTGAGGAGAAGGAAAGGCACCCTCCATACTCATACTCACATGTACACACACCCTGCTAACCACACACATCTCCCAGACTGGGGCCCTCCTACCTATGATGGCTGACACACGAGCATCAAGCCATCCTGGACTCCACAGCAAAACCTTATCTCAAGAAAAAGGAGGTTGAGAGATGACCCAGCAGTTGAGAGCACTTGCAGAGGACCAAGTTTGGTTCCTAGTTCTCACATGGCAGCTCACAACAGCTTGTAACTCCAGTTCCAAGATATCTAGGGCCAAGGGCACCAAACATAGCTTTAGTGCACATACATGCAGGGAAAACACTCATAAAGTTTTATTTATTTGTTTCTTTGGAGGCTGTCCTGGAACTCGCTCCCTAGACC